TCCAGCTCCCTGCCTGTGGCCTGGGAAAGCAGCCGAGGACGGCCCAAAGCTTTGGGACCCTGCACCCGCATGGGAGAAAGAAGAAGAAGAGGAGGAGAAATTGTTACTGAACTAGCAAGCAAGGGGTCTTGTTGCGGAATGTCGCCAGATGTTTGGTAAGCCTCTGTCTTCCTGAGTGAAGCCAAGTGCTGTTCAAGGCCAGCCCAAGAGGGTAACGAAGGCTTTTCTTTCCCATTTAGAGGGATCTCGAACCCTTTTTCCATTTGAAAAGGACCTTACCTAATTTAATCCATGATAGATCTAAAGGGCAAAGGAAAAACAGAGAAAGATCTTTCATCAGCTGATTCACTCCCTAAATGACTGCAATGGCAAGAGCTGAGCAAATCTGAAGCCAGGAGTCAGGAGCCTCCTCCGGGTCTCCCACACGGGTGCAGGGTCCCAAGACTTTGGACCGTCCTTGATTGTTTTCCCAGGCCACAAGCAGGGAGCTGGATGGGAAGTGGAGCAGTTCGGACACCTCTAAAAAAAATTTTTTTTTGCTTCCAAAAATATAGCAGAATGAAAGTCAGGAATGAGAAAATGATAGAACATGAAAAAGAGCTTTTGAAATAAGAGACAACACTTTTAAAGAAAGATTTATTCATTTTTATTGGAAAGTCAGATATCCAGAGAGGAGGAGAGACAGAGAAGAAGATCTTCCATTTGTTGATTCACTCCCCAAGTGTCCACATGGCTGGTGCTAAACCGATCAAAGCCACGAGCCAGGAGCTTCTTCTGGGTCTCCCACGCGGGTGCAGGGTCCCCAGGCTTTGGGCTGTCCTCAACTGCTTTCCCAGGCCACAAGCAGGGAGCTGGATAGGAAGATGGGCCACTGGGATTAGAACCAGCTCCCATATGGGATCCTGGTGCATGCAAGGCAAGTTAGCCACTAGGCTACTGCACCAGGCCCAAACCTGTTTTTTAAGATGTTACTAGAGAGTGTACTCCAGTTAAACAAAGGAATAAACCAAGGAAACCGAAATCCAATGATCTAGAACTCAGTAATTTCATGAGTAAAAGCCTGGCAAAGGGCTTTTCCAGTGCTCTAGGGAAGAGGCATCCCAAGATGACAGCTGTGAAACATGAGTCAATGCGAACAATTAGAGGCGTTTTAAACAAGTGTTCCTTTCAAAATTGGATGTTGACAGATTATCTAAGTAATTTGAATATCAAGAACATAATATTGACAGACAGTAAATTGCTGTTATATATTTCAGATGTTATGCTAATAATAGGAATACAAAGATTAAATGATAAAGTCGAAATAAATCTTAAAAAAGGTTAAATGAAGATTTTAAGAATTATTTCTATAGACTATTATATACACACACATATAAACACATATACTGTCAGATCAAATAGAAAAATTAGGTACTTATGAAACCCAAGAGAGAAGAGAAAAATGTTTTCAAGATTTATTTTTTATTTATTTCAGATGTAGAGCTGCACAGCAGGAGGGAATGAATGACTGAATGGCTACGCCTGGGCCAGTCCTGAAGCCAGAAGCCAGGAGCTTCTTTAAAATCTCCCCCATGGATGCAGGGGCCCTAAGATTTATGCCCATCTCTACTGCTATCCCGGGAGCATTAATGAGGAGCTGGATTGGAAGTGGAAGGAAAAAGGAGAGAGAGAGAAAAATGTCTGTGATGCTAAAATTCTTACGCATCATAGTAAGAAAAGAATAAATATTGGGGGTGATGCCGTGGCATAGAAGTTGCCACTGTTTACAACGTAGCCACATTATTCAGAGTGCGGCTTCAGGTCTCAGTTGCTACTCCGTTTTGGATCCAGTTTTGTGCTAATGAACCTGGGGAAACCATGGATGTTAGGGCCCAATGGTTGGACTTTTGCCATGCAAATGGGAGCTCTGGATAAAGTTTGTTTTCTTCACCTGGTCCAGCCCTGGCTCTTGTGGACATTTGAGAGATGAGTTAGCAAATGTCTGATATATCAAATCTTAGCAGCATAAGGACATTAATAGAAATACATAAATACATGTGAAAAGAAATTAAAATTGGCAGCTTCTAAGAAGTAGAATTTGGGGGTAGAAAAAGAATTGGTCATCATTTTTCTTTTTTTAAAGATCTTTTTTTTAATTGGAAAAGCAGATATACAGAGAGGAGGAGAGACAGAGAGGAAGATCTTCCATCTGTTGATTCACTCTAAGCGATCACAACAGTTGGAACTGAGCTGACCTGAAGCCAGGAGCCAGGAGCCTCTTCCGGGTCTCCCACGCGGGTGCAGGGTCCCAAGGCTTTGGGCTGTCCTTGACTGCTTTCCCAGGCCACAGGCAGGGAGCTGGAAGGGAAGCAGGGCTGCTGGGATTAGAACCGGCACCCATATGGGATCCCAGCACATTCAAGGCGAGGATTTTAGCTGTTAGGCTACCGCGACAGGCCCTCTTAGTCATTATCTTTCAAGAAAAAGTTTATTTGTACCCCAAATTTTAACTACGTATAATCACACCGCACCAATGGTTTTAAAATTCAACTTGATTGCATGAAAACTTGCCCCAGCATTCTTCCTGGTAACACATTCCATGTGAACTCCGATTTGTGTAAATGCTCAAGTCTCACAGCTTGGCCGGGTGGGCACTGAGCTCATGGACCAGGGGGAGCAGAAGCAGCACGCCATCTCCTGGCTGAAGCTCACGTACCGTCTGACTTGAGACCTATTTCTTATTCTTTTTGAGTGCCAGTTTCCTCCACCGTGAAAAGGGGTAATTATGTATTCCCCCCGAAATGTTTGAAGGTTTGATGAAGGACATAGATAATAATAGAAAATCATCCAGTAGACAATAGACAACAATTTCTCCTTTATCCTCAAATCTATTACTAATCCATTATTATTACTAGCGTAAGAACTCTGAAACTTTTAACTCCTTTATCTAGCTTTATTTATTTTTACATTTGAGAGGTAGAGAAGGACAACAAGAGAGCTGCTGCGTACCAACCGGTCCACCTCTGAGATGCCCTCAACGAGCAGGACTAAAGCTGGGAGTTGGGCATGCAATGGGGCTCTCTCACGTGGGGTACAGGAACCCACTCACCTGGGCCACCACCTCCGCCACCGAGGGCTGCATCAGGAAGTCAGAAACCAGAGCCAGGAATGAAACCCAGGTATTCCAATGTGCGACCCAGTCATCTCAACTACTAAACAGAAGGCAGCCCCTCCAGCTGGTTCATTTTCTCTTTATACCTGTAACAGTCCCCTGCTCCAGTAGCACTCATTGTCAGAGCTACCAAGGGTGATTTATCCTGGCATCCGAGCACACATCTAGGACACTGGACACCCTCTTAATTTACTCCTGATAGCTGTCACTTTCCTTCTATGCACAAAGTGACAACTAGAGTGAAATGAGATAATGCACGTGTTTATACTCACCTGAATCATGGTAGGCCTGCCTGGGAGACTGGATGCTGAAGAGTCTGGGATCAACCTGTAAGTCAGTATATCAAGGTCAATGGAACCTGTTTTACACGCAGATCTTACTAGTCAGGTATAGTGACACCAAACAGCTGCCCCTGAAACTGTCAGATGTTTACCGTGGTTCCTAAGGTCACGGTCCCATCACATGAGCACAGAGGGACAGCATCAGCCAATCAGCAGGCAGAGGAAAGTGTAGTCTGTTCCCTGGAGTCAGTCGCTGGGGCAGAGAGAGCGACCTGGAGTGTGCAAACCTCCGAAGGAGCTGGCTGTGGGGTGGATGACTTAGTTTGTGAAATGTGGGTGTGTCCGCCAGGAATTAGCCAGCTCTGGGAAGAGCCCGGCCTCCAGGGTTAGCAAAGCGTCAGAAACACAGAAGAAAGGCATCGTTAAAATACAGCGCTCTCAAATCAGTTTGTACCCTTCTCCTGAGGTGGCTTCCAAAACTGGTCCCCGAGTTAAGAGAGGACACGTTGCCGAAAGCCTTTGCAAGGCAAGGCCCCTTACATGAGAATAGAAGGCCAAATGAGAGTTAAATGCAGTCCCTAAACCAAAAAAGCAAGATTGGGCATGCTGTCACAAGCAAAACATCTATGTTTGGTTTTGTTTTTTTTCCCAGGTAAGCACAGTCCATGGACTTCGTCTAACACCCTGGGCATGCTTTCTCAGAGCAAACAGAGGCCCCACTCTGAACGGACAATCACATTCGGGTGCAAAGGCAGTAGTGGAACGGAGATGGCTCTGCTTGAGTGCCTCGCCCTTATCAATCATTTCGTCGGGGTTTTTGGAGCGTGAACCTGTTTGGCATTCCCTGCCCTGTTGTTCTCTAGACAGCGCGTGCCCGTTGGCACAAGTCCAGCGCCTCCTTCTCCAGCATTCAGAGATGGGAAAAGCAAAATCAAATCCACGGCTTTGGAAATCCAGTTAGGGAAAAGTCGGAGGAGACAGCAAAAATGAGTCAGGCCGGCTGAACCTCCGGAGAATATTGGTTCTCATCCTGTGATAGAGTAAAAACACAATTCCATTTCTCAATGACCTTCCAGCTGACCCCTGGGTGTGGCACTGCCTCACATACACACTGCTGGTTCGAGGCTCTTCTCTCATTGGGATTAGATCATCAGGAAAGAACAGTGAGGAACACAAAACCAAACTTAGAAGAAAAGCAAAATACTTTCAAAACCAGACCGCTAAATTGTTAAAAATAAGACTGGGCAACATTTCACTAAGTAGGAAAAATATTTATTTGCAAGAAATAGAAATACAAAAGCATAACAAGTTTGATTTTTTTTTTGTCCAAACTAAGTACAAGTATCCTACAAAGTCTTTTTATTTTATTGTATTGATATTTACTTCGCTTATGATAAGACTAAAAAGCCAGTTAAAAAAAATAAAGCACAAAAGACAGATAAAAGACTCAAAAATGCACTCAGTTTTTAACACTGCTGGTCTATGCAACCTATTTGAGAAGGGAGGGAAATGCAGGTGCTGGCACAGACTTTATTAAAGCTCACTGCAGATTCTAGTCCGCAGGCTGGTCACTCCTGCTCTGGAAGGATCGCTCCCGGCTTGTCCAACAGCGCTGGTGTTTCCCGTAGACTCAGAGAGCATTTTACCTGGAAGGGAGAATTGCTAAGTAGTGTGGGTCACAGGTCTACGGTGCAAACAGTTCCTGTTCTCACCCAACTGGTGAGCAGCAGAGCCACACTGCTTACTTAACTTGCTGGTTTTCCTTTTCCTGGGATGCAAAGCCTGCCAGCTGGAAATCCACAAGATGCAATGCAAAAGACAGAAGCTGGGCATCTGGTGGACAGCTCCAGCAGGAAGCAAAGGCATGGATGCAAGGTCACCGGCATCGGGCATCACGCGCCCCCGCCCCTCTGCCTCACACAGGCTTATCCATGGCATGGGATCTGTCACCCCGGTTACTCTACCCGTGAGGCTAAAGCAAAACTCAGCACAGCACCCAACACCTTAGTAAGTGCTCCAGAAACATCATTTCCCTATCTCCTAGAAACTGACACAAAACAAAGCATTTCTGAATGTCAGGTGACCCTGAATGACAAAACACAACATTGACCTTTCTCTGCAGTTAAGCGCCGTCCTTTGACTGCATTAGTCCCCAAATGTCCCGCTACGACGACTTACAATGCCTTTAATCCTGACTAGCCAGGCTTTTTAAATGTGATTGCACCCCTATCAAATGAGATTTTCCTAATGGACGTGACCCCATTTCTTTTCTCCTGACTGGTCAACCTGGGAGTGGCCGACTTCCAGGAAAACAATTTTGACATTTGGAAAAAGTTCTTGCCGCTCTCTCCCTCCCCGCCTCCCATTGCCCTGGAATCTAATACCATAAAACCTCGGGGGAAAAGGGATTCCTCAGGCCCCCAGGGGGGCTTGTGTAAGGCACTATTTAAGGCACAATGACATACAAGATAGGGTGTCTGTGCGCACGAGTGTGCCAGTGTGGGAGTGGCTGCTTGGGTCTGTTGGAAAGCTGTAACGAGTGAGATTTCCTTGGTCCTTCTTACTCCCTAGGGCCTCACGCTCTTCCTTAATAAAACTCACAAATCCTAGCAGGGAGCCAAGGAGAGAAGGAAGGAAGGGATGGAGGGAGGAAGAAAGGATGGAATAACCTGACTGTTTCTGGCTCCCTCTCACACTCCCCACTGGCTCCTGTAACAGCATCCCAGGAGGCTTATCCAGCTCTGCTAATTGTCTCAGCTGAAAGCAGTGACAGAAAATGACTGTCCGCAGAGCACCACCCGCTGAGAGCTTCCCGGGCCTGCCAGGCCTGAGAGCGGGAGTGCCTGTGCCTTTCATCCAGGTTCTCAAAGACCAGATTCCCCAGAACTCAATGACTGGCTTAAGGCAGAGCAGAGGGAGGCCACACACCCCCTCTTCCATCTCTGGCCTCCCCGTGGGGACAGGGGCAGCTCGGATGGCCCACTCCTTGCTGGGGGGTGGGTTGTCTCTTTTGCATTCGGCTGCAAAGCAAACTGTAAGTGACAGGTGTTCAGAGGAGCTGGCCCTGGGCGGCTCTGATCTGCCTGGGCCTCAGCACGGAGAGCAGCCATGAGATGCTGTGAAAGGATCTCAATAAAACATACAAGACAACGCTGTTGGCCAGGGTCCCACGCTGGAATAAGAAAGAATTAAGTCAGTCCTTCTTTGTGGACACGTGGGATTCACGGTCCCCTTTCAGCATCTGAGCTGAACTGAGACTTAGAAAGCAAACCGGCCGTCTATTCATAGCCAGTCTGTAAGTAACTTGAACTGAAAGCTGCCTTCCTAATCTACAAATGAGGTCTCCAAATAAAATCATGTTAACCGACAGGTTATCTAATTTTGCCTACATTGATGTCAAAGCTCACCCCACTTCCTACCAAACAGGAGCAGCCTAGTTCGGCTGTCAGATCTTTACATAACCCTCTCCTCCTGCGAGCCTGGCTCCGGAGCCCCAGCACTTCAGACACTCTTTCTTCAAACTGGCACCAAGGCCTTTGGCTGACACCATCATTTCCTGAGTGTCCTGGGGACCTGGGCCTCACTGTTCTCTACATATCCGCAAGGCGGCCCCTTAACTAGTGCAGTCAAGATAGGGCAAGGGGAAGGCCTGCTTGCATGATCAAAGAGTTAACTGATCAGATTCTCAGTGGCTTAGGGCTGGCAGCTGGAACAGGCCAGAACTGTTCACGCTCTGGCAGAAATCTCCAGTATGAAGCACCGGTTAGACCGTGGGATGTTTGCTTAGTGCGGACATGATCTACAGCCTGTGAGCGCAGCCTTGGACCGAGGACAGGCACACCCCATCAGATATCTGGGGCCCATCTGCCACTCGCTCCCCGACCCCCCCACGTCCTCTTGACCCACTTTTGCCCTCCTTTGGTTCCCTTTACTCATTCAAGCGAGGAGATTTTTTTTTTTTCCCCAAAAAAGAACAGCAAAATTTGCCTTTAGAACCTACTTTAAAGGGCTGCTGGCTAGCTGGCTGTTCTGCAAAGATGGTTTCCTTGAAAAAGCCTTGCTACGGTGACATGCAGCAACGGTAGGTAGGGCAGAAAACGAAATCCTCCGTGCAGCAAGGACAGAGACTAGAAGCTTCTTTCTCCCTTTTCCTTCCTCATTCAGAAGAGCAAGATTTCCTCTGTGGAAGCCTGAATCCCCAGTGTGGGTCCGTCCCCGTAGCTGGTGGATGTGCGGGGGCTGCCCATTCTCTCCCTTCCGCCCTCAAGTGTGACAACTTCTCTTTCCTCACTGTGCAAATACACATCACTCGAATCCATTCCATCTGCTTGCCTTCTGGGACCTCACAGGCTACCTAGGCCGGACAAACACACGGCAGTTTAACAGAAGCATAGGTCAGCAATGGTTCAAGGTCACCGGACACTGACCGGGCCCAGCAGGATCCAGAGAGAAGTCTAGCAGAGGCCATCGGTCGCCCCCTTCCTCGCTGCGACACAGACAATGGCTGGGACAGTGAGAACCGTGCAGACAGCAGGGCTGCCAGGCCCATAGCAGTCCTGATGCGAGTGAGCAGACACGTTGGGCTGTTTCCCAGGCTGGAGGCACCTCCGTCACAGCAGGGACAGTGAGGAGTCACTCACCATGGTGACTCTAAATGAACTCAGGCGGACCACGCAGGGATTGTGCTCGTGTGGCACAATGGCAGACTCACGTGACACCAAATCCAGTCCCTGATAGGGAATGGGAGGCCTGCATGTGGCTTAATCCTTCTTAAGTTCAGTGACCATGTAGATGACAAGCAAGAGAGAGAGACAGGGAACCTCAAGCCAAAGGCCCTTCAGCTGCTACTAAAAATAAAATACAAGATGTAAGCAAATTTCCTACATGAGATCTTTTACAAGCTAGAGAAAAACACTTAAGGGAATCTTCTACTTTATATAATACAAGACCATTTTCATATCTTTGTATGAAATAGGAAAGAAAAAATAATTAACTACAAAAGTTTACTTTTAATCATTAAAAAAAAAAAGAATAAAGTAGGGGAGGGGTTGGGTTGTATCTCTTTGGGTGAGCTGCAACATTGCCAAACCTGCCAGTAAAAGTAAGGGCATGAAGGCTCAAAAGTCACCTATGCCCGATCTGACTGACCCACGCTGTTAGAGCAGAAGACGCAGGGGGCAAAAATGGAAGTGCAGAAGGCAGGACAGGAGGAGGGGCCAGAGGCAGGCGTGGCCAGGAGCTGGCAAGGTGGCCAGGCAGAGGACCTCCGCACTCTGTTACCGGAACCAGGGCGGGAGCGCATCGGACCGCAAACCGCAGACTGGCGCAGGGCAGACACTGCTCTGTCTTTCTCTCTGAGTTCGTCCCCTTTGTAAGGAGGCAATGACATAAGGGAGATTTCTCAAAGGGAACTGCTTTACAGTCCTCCAGTACAAAGAAAGAAGAAAACGTCATCTGGAAAGACTGGGGATCCCAGAATCTAGGGACTCCCCCATCACCCCCAAACCAGCTCTGAAGGCCAGAAGAGCAGTTTGGAAGGAAGCTGTGGATTGCTCTGCTGTGGCTGCGAGCAGAAAGCCTGGGCGAGCTAATAAATACTATTTACAAAGGGGGAGGAGAAGCTGCAGAGGCAGAACTATGGTGGGGTGGGAGTTGGGGTGGGGCACGTCGTGGGGTAGAATCCTACTGGCAACAGGGCAGAGCAGGTATGCCAGGAGTGGAGAAGCCTGATCCCTTCAGGCATTGCACTTGCGGCCTGAGAATATGAAGGGACGCCCTTGCCCACCGCTGCCTGAGCTGGACCGCGGTCAGGTGAGGGCTCCAGATGGCAGGGGTTGGTGGTGCGAGGCGAGGTGCTGATACGTCAGAAGCATTCACATGGGAGCCCCGGGTGTGCACGAAGGAGGACAGGAGTCACCGCTCTGCCAAATCTCAACAGGCATCATGGCATTCTGGTGGCTAGAGTCTGGGGTGGCCATCGAGCCAGTCTTGTCTTCAGAGAGGAGTCACACCTCATAGAAGAATCGAGCAACATCTTGGGTTATTTGTTTGTTGGCATCCCTGGTGGGAACAAGCCCGCTTGTCCCACTCACACCCCTAAAATCATATCCTACAGCGGTAAGAGGCAGGGAGGGGCAGATGCAGAGCAGGGGGAGGGGCAGGGACCAGAGGGTAAGATGCTCTCACGCTGCAGGTGGAAACCCCAGGCTGGTCTCCCATCTAAAGCCATGACGCCCTCATCTGTGTCTTTGTTAAGATCCAGTGACAAAGAGGACAAGCTTATGACCGGGGTGATTCGTGGTTGGAGAAGCGGAGTTAAGGGCAACTGGGAGGAGCCAGCCTCTTCAAAAGGTAGTGTTCACTCGCCTGTCCAGCTGGACGACTTTCAGCGTTTCGTTGCCCTCCAGTTCGGTGCTGACTCTGCGAAACCATGGAAAGGGAAAAGTATTAGGCACCGATTGCTCCAGCTCTCAGGACACAGCCATTCGATGACTGCGACCTGTGGCCTAGCCCAGCTTCCTCCTGTCCTTTCCTCCGTTGCTCAAGCTCCCCTGCCAACCTACCCACTCTGTCCACATTCCTACCATCACCCTACCCAAGAGAACGCGCTCGCTGCAGAGTGTAAGTCTGGTGGTTTGGTAACTGGCTTGTTCTAAGTCGCTGTAAGTTACTGCAACCCCCAAGGATGTTGGGCCTGAGCTAAAGTCTGGGGAGATGAAAATCAAAGGATCCCTGGCATGGAAGAGCTAATAGTTCAGACAAAGATTTACAAATAGTTGGAGATACTGAGGAGGGATCAGGAAAGAAATATTGTGTTCACAGCCCAGAAAGTCTCCAGGTAGGCAGAGGAGGGTGAGAAGAGGCGACAAAACATGAGAGATTTCACTGTGGCCTTGAGGACTGAGACAAGGGGAGAGGGAAGGCTCTGTCCCGAGCCAAGCAATGCAGCAATTAGACCCTCAAGAGCTTCCGGGAGGGACTCCAAGCATTCCCTATAAAGCAAACACTCATCATGCTTTGCCTCTTAGGATAGCAGAAACAATTTACATGACAACACATGTACAGTGATTCCATCTTATAAGGGTCAGCCCACGTGAGACCTACATACATAATAGACACACAAAAGTGGTCTATCATTGCGAGCCTTCCCCTTCAGGGTTAGGGTTAGAAAGCTGCAGAAAAAAAATCCGCAATGGGATCTTCCACTCATGTGGGAATAGCCTCATTTCTGGGAGGGCTGGGATCAGATCTTGGTTAAATCGACAGCTAGTCCACACATCACCTGCATGGAGAGGGGTGTCTGCACACACAGCTCGCATTGGATCTTCTTCCTGTCTCTTCTCAGGGCAGCTACGGGCCAACAGCAGACTCTCCTGGGTCTGGGGCAGTCTACACCCCACAGCGTCTGCTGCTAACTTAACCCATTCTCAGTGCATCAGTAGAGCCCAATCTGTGACTCTAGGACTCACAGATGCTGCTGCAGTTCCGACAGCACTGACTCCTCCAGGCTGGTCTCATTTGAGATAATAAAATGAGGAAGATCCACGTCGGCTCTGGACTCCAGCCCTGACACCCTGAGCAGGGAGGAGCCTCTGTCCCAGCCCCCCAGCTCCCCGGCTGAGGATGGGCTGGACGGCTCCTCCAGGGCAGAATGTTCTTCATAGATGAGCAGGTTCCGGGATCTCACTGAGGACAGAGCAGAGGAACATGGTGTTAGCAAGAGGCCACAGGGGTCCCCTACATCCCCTCACTCCCCCATGGCCAGGGCTGGCAGCAGAAGACAAATGGTGGGTCCCTGTTGTCCAGGACTCAAGGTGCCTGAACTGAACTGGATTTTTCATAAAGGCTTCAGGGTTTCAGAGATTCCTCATCAAAAACATTATGCCCATTATACCATGCTGGAAGTACAACAAAAAAGCAAAAATGTACACCCAATAAACTACCACCTTCCACTGCTTTGAAAATAAAACTCCCTCCCTGCCAACCCATAACAATCAAGGAAAATCAATTCTTGCTAAGTCGGAGTCAAATACTCAAGAGGTTCAAATGGTCTTGCAAGGGAATGAGGTACAAGGACATTAGCACCCTGAAACTGAAGAGAGGGTACAAAGTCAAGGCCATGAATCAAAGGATGAATAATCTCATTTGTGTTAGAGTCAGTCACATAGGTGGATGTGAGTCTCTTCCAATTCTCTACAACACGGAAGTTGACTTTTAAATAAATTTAGATATAATCTTTGAGGAAGGGAGTAAAAATAATTTCTCAACAGGTCATGAAAATAATTTAATTGGAATATTAGCCTTCCGGTCATATACCTGGCACCTGCCCAATGAAGACCAGACATTTCAGGATGGAAAAACCATCCCATCTCAAACATAAGTCCTCATGACACTAAGCTAATTCTATTAGTAAGGATATTTGTGTACAATCTCCTTTTCACTATCCTTCTATTACCTTTATATTTAAAAGAGATGTTATCCACATATGATTATATGTATACACAAATACATGTATGTATATGTATGTGTGTGTGTGTGTGTGTTTGAAAATCAAACACCTGAATCTCTGAATTCTCTCAATTGTGGGTGTCATGTTTTGTAAGAAAAGCTCATTATCTTATTGTACAGATTCTCATGGTAGCACACATTCCATCTAGCGGAAATGCAGTTCTCTTACAATGTCATGGGAAACAACGCTCCCTTTAAACACACGCATCTCTCCTTATAGACCCAAACAAAGGGGATGTTAGAAAGCATTAGGGCAGAATCTCCAGCAATAGTTAACACACTGTGTTCTATCAAGCTCTCGAGAATTCCCAGGGATGCTCCAGCTTAACTGTGAGGGAGAGGCAGCAGGACAAGCATGGGCTGGGGTACCAGCAGCCACCTGTGAGCAAGTGGAGAAATCCTACTTGTACCATATTTTAAAAATCGAGTTTTAGGAAGCTCCAGAGGAACAAAATGCAACACTTCCCAAGCTGATGGTGGCTGTCTTACCAACAGATGCTGTGTACGGCTCCGGCATGGAATGCTGGCTGGGCAGTGCCATCTTGGTGGCAGAAGGATAGGGCTTATAGCCCTGGAAGAAGCTGCCGAAGGCCACGGCAAAGCACAACACTACGACCTGGGGACGGAAGACAGGAATTGGAGGCTGTGGGTTGCAGGCTGAAGGCCAAGGAGAGACGCTCCCCTTCATCAGGCCTGCAGGTGGGACGCACAGGTCACATCGTCAAACAGAGAAACAGCATTCTTTCTCCAGCCCACACAGCACTTGGCCTTGAAAAGGAACCCAACCTGGGTCAGTTAGGTCAAACTCACCATGAGACAGGTGCCAGTCTGTGTGCCAGCCAACTTGCAGGTACGAGAAACCTTGCCCATCACCAAGGTCTGCAGCTTCTGCAGCTGTTGCAGCAGAGTCCTGTCATGGTAATAATCGGAGGCCGTGAGGGGAATCAGAGAGATAAGAGACGCTGCGTGATGGCCCTACCTCTGCTGTGCTCTGCAGCACTGTGAGACTTTGTGCCCGCCTCGAGCAGACCGAGCAGGCTCCTTTCCTCCGGGTGCAGATACAGACAACAGCACCTTACCAGTTTGTTCCGTTACAGTGTGATGCTAAGAGATGAACACCTCCCTGACAGGTGTGACTTGTTAGTTAACAACAACAACAACAAAAAGCATCGCCCTGATTGGAAGGCTGTTAACGATCTGAATTTTGTATCTCTCCCCCTGCAAAAATGGAGGTAGTGAATTTTGATTGATTCTTAACCGAAAAAGAAAAGAAACCAAACCCTCAAGGTAATGGCATTAGGAGGGTGGCCCTCTGGGAAGTAATTAGGTCACGAGGATGAAATGGTTAGTGAATGAGCTTCGTGCTCTTAAAAGGGATGAAAAGAACGGAAACGGCTTCCTCCTGCAGGCCAGGACACAGCTGGACGGTCCTTTCCACCAACTAGAAAGTAAGCACTCACCAGACGCCAAACTGCCAATGCCTCAGCCTTGGCCTTCCTGGCCTCCAGCGCTGGGAGGCACAACAAGTTACACAATTTCTCCATTCATGGTATTTTGCTATAGAAGCTTGAGCAGACAAAGATAACGGTGATTAGAAGCACTGACTTATCCAAGAGATGTGAAATACCGATGAATAGTAAGAGAAAAGAAGAAAAAGACTAGCAGAAAATGGCTGGAGGCATAGCTGGAGGAGGCTGTGGCTGGACAAGACAGCAGCATCACTAAACAGGAGGCCTTTGGGAGGCAGGAGAGAGAGGGAGAGAAAAAAAAGAGAGAGAGAGAGAGTGAAGTTCAGGGCACGGGACAGGCACCTGCGCTGATGTCTGGAGATCCTAAAGGTTCACCGGCTCCTCCACAGTGAGAAAGGTGGCCAAAGACATCTGATAGGCCAGACTCTCAGGCGCAGAGCCAGGGGGTTTTGGAACTAACCCTCTGATAGAGACTTTGGTCTTTCTCTAGGAAAAGACAGTGTGGTAGCAAAGGAGATATTTTATCCCTAAAATTGGGCAGCTGGGCCTCCCCTTAGAGGGGAAAGGCTTGGAGATGAGAATGGGGTCCTATACTCTGTTCTGTGTGAGATCAGAACTCAAGAGAGGGCAGACGGCGATTTGCTCTGCAGCTCCACAGTGCGTGGCATAGAGGGGGATCTGAGGACACACCCTCCCAGGCCACAGCAGGTGGGATGGGTTCTGTGTGAGAGTGCAAAGAGTGGACGCTTCTCCTTGCCCTCCCTCCCGATCCCCAAGCCCAGTGTAGCATTGGAGACTTTCTGAGCAGATGCTTTTTCTTGAGTCTCACAACAAATCCACACTGTGAGACGACACTAGGGGGCCACCCGAGTTCATCACCCCATCAAGGATTTGTAGAATTCTAGGCATTCATAGCAAATTTGCTTCTCATCACACTCTAACTCCTGAACCACTATCAAGTGTTGGAAAGACAAGCAATGTTTTCCAAGCTTTGCTATTTCTCCGATAAGCAGTAAGGGAATACATTCTCCCAATTTAAACAAATCAAAGATAGGTTGACCATGAACTTGCTTTCAGTAGTGTTAAGACAGGTGGGAGAACTGGAGCAGTCCACACTGTGCAATGAAGCATTCACAACTGAAAAATTCAGGATTGGACCCACTGTGTTTTTGCATTACAAAGTAATATTAATGGAAGTAAAGCAAAATCATTTATTACAACATTAAATTATATTTAGCGTGAAGATCTTTCTTTTGTATGAGCTGTTTATCTTTTTTCTCTGGTTACATGCACACTGGAGCTGGTTTACATTTATGCATAGCTCTGCAGGCCACAGATTCTCGGAAAGCATGATGCATGCTACTCAGGGCAGAGAAATACTGATAATGTGAGCACTTTAAACACTAAAGGGTCACACCTAAGTGGTTCCGTGATACAACAATTTCTTTTCCCTCCTCAAGGATTTTGTCCCTTCTCTCAGAATTTCTCCAGAATATCCCCTCCTACTCATTAACAGGGCTGCCTTGAACAAGCAGCCACCTCTGGAGTAGGCACTCCTTCACCCAGAGCTGAGACTTTGCTGGCACTACCACGCATGGGACCGACCACCAGGTGTAATACCAGCCACAAAAACTTCACTGTTGTATTTCTGGAAGTCCTGGACCCACAGATAAGACCACATGGTACATTTTTCTCTTGTGTGTTGGTCATTTGTCACATTGCCAATTACTCAGATTGCAGCTGTCTGCCAAGCTATGGGGAGGGCTTCTCTGCCCCTTTGACATGCTGAAGAGCCACTTGAGTAATGGCTGCCACTTTTGCAAGGCATCCTGATTCTCCATTGGGCAGTCCTGCTGCCTGTGTCAGTAGCCTTGAAGAGTTGGAGTCAAATGGCTCTGTGCGTCAGTGGGCCACCTTTCTCCACCCAGCTCTCAGTCAGATGGAATCTTGCTAGATGGTGCCAAAGCCACATTATGTTTGCTCTAAGGTCTTAAAGGTGTTTGGAAAGAGAAGCTAACGTTTCTATTATTTGCCACAGGTCTCTGTCTACCTGGACTCAACCCACAGGTCCTCCTTGCCCAGCCCTCCTCCCTTGGTCCTTAGAGCACGAGAAGTCAGGAAAAACAGTGTCACACAATTGCTTGCTCAGGCCTGTTCCTCCTTCCCCAGGATATAGTTTCTCCCAGAAGGCTCTGCATGCCTTCCTAAAAATAGACTTCTAGCAGGCAAGATACACAAGATTACTTCAAAATGTTCACAGAAAACAGGATTGAAAGTTTATTTTGGTGCAAAAAAAAAAAAAGAGAGAGATCTTTCAGATGCTAATTCATTCCTGAAATGGCCACAATGGTCCCAGCTGGGATGATCCAAGGCCAGGAGACAGGAGCTTCTTCCCAGTTTCCCACACGGGTGCAGGGACCCACACTTGGGCCATCTTTCACTGTTTTTCCAGGCACGTTAGCAGGTAAGGAGGTAGACTGGGAGTAGAAGAGCCAGGCCTTGAACTGGCGCCCATATGGCATGGTGGCACTGAAAATGACAGCTTTACTCACTGCACCATGGCACCGGTCCCCTTTCCAAAAACTTTTTGAAGTACTCTCAGACGTGGAGTCCACTGATAGAATTTCTCAGCCTCAGGGTGGAGAAATCAGCTCTCTGGCCCCCACTGCAGGTGCCAGAGGGCTTTAGATTTAGAGGAACCATTTAAGCATGGCTGGAAGAAGCAGAGGAAGTTTCATTGGTTACTGACTGTGTAGGGCATGCCACGTGGGATTCATCAGCAGGTCCTTTCCAAACTCAAAGATGGTTCTATGCTGAATCTACCACAAATGAAAATGGTTGTGTACCAGTCCCTGATTTCTAACAATGGATCACTCAGCTCTTTGAAATGAGCAAAGATGTTGTTTAAAGTATACATTTTTTTTTTACTTGAAAATTGGGTGGAAATCATTTGAGACTAATACCATGCTGCTTGTTTTTGCTCCTTCTATTTAGGCTGGTGAAGGTAAACTGAATTATGGTAGAGAAGATAACACTCCCGGGCCCGCTCAACGAACAAGCGAGAAGCATTTCAGCGGAGTAAATCAGATTCACTCACCCAGCCCCAGCATCTCAACAGATTCCTATGATCTGATAAACCTTGGGAAATTCACATACATTCATAACAGAAACACCCACTTCCATCATAAAGTTAGTTAACAGTAATTGGGTGCCCACTGATTAAGTTGTAGGAACTGCCTGTCTTGAGACACTAAGCATAAGCCTGGGTCATTTCATAATACACACATTCGGAGAAATAAGTCACTGTGTAAACATCAGAGTGTAATTATGTAAGCGAGGGTGACCACAACGCCGCTAGTTGGTTAAATTTTATGGGATCACCATTGTGTGTGTGGCCAATCATTCATGACGTGTCATTATGTGACATTAGATGGTGTAAGTCTCAGACAATAATAAGAAAACCTAAGAGGGCAGCCAAAACCAATCTGACCCCATCACTTGTATGCTTTCCAAGACGGTGCAACGCGGTAACTGAATCGATGCCCTCATAAAATTAATAACAAAATGCTTTAGGTATTTTTTTAAATAAAATCCAATGACATTAATATCACACTGACAACAGCTCAACCACAGGATCTATGTCCACCATTAGATGTCAAGATGTTACCATGAAGAGGATTCAAGTTAGAGATAGAAGAGCCATAATAGAACCCAGGGACAAACAGCAAATAATAGAACCCAGTGGCAATGAAGTACATGCTAACAGAATTTCAACGACGAGGACATCTATAAAAGCCATAGGGTAAAATGAATACTTATATCAAAGAGAAAAATGAAGATAATAGATAAAAGCATCAAGGATGCTTTTTTCCCCCCTGTGTTCCATGTCAGGAAGTCAAACTTCAGCTTTATTTAGAAAACTGGAAAATGTAAGAGCTACCCCTTTGTCAGAGGGGAAAAACGTAGATGCTGGCTTGACGACTGCTAAGCTGTTACACATTCCAGTACACTGGAACAAGAGGATGGGCTCCGAGGGCAGAGGACCCCTGGTGCAGTTGCTGGGCGCCTGCCACTCAGCTCCGGCAGTTCTGAGCACAGGCAGCTAATCAAAACGAATTCTCCTGACCACTTCAGCTAGGAGACTCCTGAGAGACTCCACCTCCTGGGGTGCCTCTGTGGAAGAATGTTTGCGGTCTCCTTTCGCTGGTGATAGACGAAGCCCGCTCTTTTTTACCGGAAGCCGATAACCCCTAAAGTGATATGTTGGTCTGAGGTGACGGAGCAGTTTCTCGGATGCTGCTGGCTGCAGCCTCGCACGCTTGGCTCACAGCTCCTGCCCCGCCTGCATGATGGGTCAGGTGCAGGAAATGCAGCCAGCCGAGAGATGGAAAAATTATTTGAAAACTAAAGCTATAGTCAGCCATAGCACAGACCCAGTAGT